GTGTATTATAATACTTTTAATATTAGAAAAAAAATTTGTTGTTGTTTTTAATAAAGATAAAAGATAAAAAGATATTTGAATGGATTGCACTGTTTTGAGTTAAATCTGTAAAAGAATGTCTCAGTGTATTCGATTTTTTTTTGAAAGTTAAGAATTATTTACTTTTCATAGGATTCATTCGTCAATTTTTACATAAATATTAAAAGAAGTAATTTATCTGGGAAAAAGAAATTAAAAAAAGTAGCTTTCCTGGAAGGTGCATGTAGCACCCAATTTTCCTTCCTCGTTTATTAAATTATTTAATCTTCAACTAAAAAAGATACACAATTGATTTGAAATTTTTAATTTCCTTTCAATAATCCTAAAAATTACATTTTTCCAAAAAATTTAGTATCCTGTTGAATTTGAATATAATATGCACCCTTAGGCTGAAAATAAACAAAAATTGCTCAGTTGCAGTAATTTAAATTGAATTAAAAATAAGTCCACTGTTGTAAATATCTTTTGTTACATGCATCGAATTTTTTACTGTTCCATATTGTTTAGTACGTGGGGATCGATAAGTTATTGATGAAAATGCCAGAAATTAGAAACATTCGTTGAAACAGTGTGTGTAATTCATACGCTATGGGGAATACAGCGAGAGTCAAGGAAAGGAGAATTTTTTGCAGTAGCGTATGCACGATTTTTACGACGTCTAATTTTTTACAAGAGCCACAGTCAACGACGTTCATTGCTGCACATTTGTTTAATTAGGGAAAGCAAGGTCCTTCTCGTAAAACCTACAATTTTTTACTCCGAATATTCCTCTTTTGTTTCCTTTAACATAAGGAATATTAATAACGACACTTTATCATCAGACTCCAGCAAAAAGTTGCAAAATTTGTCGGGTAGAGAAATTTTAAGGAAGGAACTGTTTAAAAAAGTTTTTTTAATTCCAATGTGAATTTTACAAAGTAACTATAACGGATCGTGAATGCAGTTTCGTACGCCAATGAACCGAAGCCATTTTTAATTATCCTTATCCTTTTTCCTGTCTATCTGGAGTATCAGGGAGATTTAAGAAAAGCGGGGTAACAATTTAATGGATGCACGATGCAATTTATTCCGATCTCCCTTTCCATATTTTCATTTTTTCTCATTTTCATAGTCTCTCTATGTTTCTCATTATATCTTTCGTTGTTCTTTATTTCCCTTCCTCGTCCAATATTATACGCTTGTTCTTCCCTGTTTCCTACTTTCCTCTGTAAATTTCTCCCTTCTCAATATCACACATTTTTGTTTATTTTACTTCTTCGTAGTAACTTTCTTCTTACTCTAACCTATATTCGTTCTCTCTCCTTTTTTCTTCTTCTCACAGTATACACTTGCTCTCCGATTTTCCTTCCATTCGTTCTACGGTTCACTTTTTATCGCTCATTTTATTACAGTCTTTCGCGTCCGTTTCTGTTTCTTTGTCGTTTTATCGCTCTAATTAACGCATGTTCCGCGGGTGCCTGTAAATTTTACGACCTGCCAACTTCAAAATTAATTGGAACTAGATCGCATGTGTCTCCACGGTAATACGGACTATCAGATAACTTTAGAGACTGCCAGGGATAATTTAGAATGGTCGATTTCTTGCGTACGAACGGCGAAATATTTTCTCGATACTCGGGTTAAAGGAAAATTGTCAAATTTCAAAGATACTTGAAAATATTATGCGATTAATATATTTTGAAAATTTGAAAGACATTTGAAAAAATTATGCGATTAATATAAATTTGGGGGTTGCGACGTTTAAATAGATTTATCTGCACAATTTGTCGTTTTCTTGATTATCTTATCATATCTTACTTATTATTGTTTCAGTCTGCTAAATTTTCGAAGTTTAGTTAGAACTAATAGTAGAAACAAAAAATTAAGTCTACTCCTATGTTTTGTTTCTTATCAACTTATCACTAAACGACTGTGTGACATTAGTGTAAAACAAGATTACAATCTGCAGCATCTAACTTTCCAAGTAGTCTACCATTAATTAAGTCAGAATACGATTAACACCTTCTCACCCGAATTTAGTTAGATTTCACTATTGATCAAGTATAGAATCCCCTGAAATAAAGTCAAACGGGAAACCATTACAGAAATCACCGAAGGTACCAAATTAACACATTTTCAAGCAAATATTCACATACAGGCTAATTCTTAAACATAAACAACGTAGCAATAAACGATGTCTACAATTACTACTCATTTCATCATTAACTAACAAAAGCGTCATCTTGAATAACTTGTTTAATCCGCTCGAAACAGTCACTTTCTCCACGTCAATACTGTTAATCTCTTTCCGAGTATAGCGTTACGAGCTTTATTATTTCCCGGTCGAAATTGATTTACACCGCTCTCGTGCTCACAGATTCAATCGAATCGACTGGCCAACCAAGTGGACACTTCAAACTGTCCAGTTGGTTAGTCAGAAATCGCTTGACCCGTTACTCGCCGCCTTCGATCGAGCAGCATGAATATTTAACGAAATCCCTTTTTCAGTCGTCCTGGCGTTGCAGCGTGTGTCGTCGAAAAATCGCGTCTCGAGATCAGCCAATCGTGACCCAGGAATCGACCGATTCCCTGCTCGAAGTTCCCGTATTGGAAGCGTTACAAAGGAGGCACAGCGACGCGAGACTTGGTTGTCAAAGCGGAACTCAAATCGGTAGCCTGGGTTCCGGATTGGCGCCTCCGAGGAGCCCGGAACTCAGAAGACACTCGGATGTGCCGCTGGCCAGTTTGAAGGATCTCGAGAAGGTAAGCTGATGTTCGCTTGGTACATGAAAATCGTGCTTCTCACAGACAATCTTCCATTTCGACAACGAAACAGAATACAGTACATGTCTTGTGCATCGTATTCATTTCCGATTGGTCATTTCGAGGAACTCTATCGATTGTAAGTTTCAGACATTTGCTCTATTGTTAATTGGTGATTTGGAAATCGCAGATATAAGTTTTTTTTTCAATTTTAGAGCTCCTTGCGAGCAATTCCACGTTGGGAATTGTAAGTAGGTTTCGTGACATTACTTTGCATATATTAGATGATTGCAAAAGTTCGTGCCCGATTTTCAAAGGTGGCGAGAACCTTTTATCGACTTCGGCACAGACGTTTCTTTTAGCGTAATGTTACATTCCTATCGAAAGATACACCGCTTGTGTTTTCTTTTCAAATAATTATTCGTTTCGTTCCATTTCAGTTGCAAATGAAATCTGCTTTTGCACACACCGATTCTTTTATTTTCAAATCGGGCACGAACTTTTGCAATCATCCAATACGATCGTTGTAACGAGGCTAGGTATTAGTTGTTAAATATTAACAGAAGAGACATAAGTTCAATGTATTGTAGAATTTGTTAAAAGGAACAGCATAAAAAAGCAACTTCGGTAATCAGATTCTTTGGGTTCAGTTTGTTTTTATGCGAGCCGTTAGCGAAATCATTTCCTTGAGAAGGTAACTTTTGATAAAATTGTTAGCTCGAGCAGGTAGATTTAATTTCCTATTAGGAAGAGGGTATTTGCTGTAACAAAGCATTATTTATGAGATATGATTCCTTTGTTGTTTTTGTCCTTTGTAAAAAGAAACGTTACAGAAATGCAAGTTCTGTAATAGCAAATTAATTGTTGACAAAATTGTTAAATTAGGAAGTGAATGTTTTTTTTTGGGTTCAACTTGATTTTACATAAACCACTAGTGCGCTACAATTCTTACTACGAATTGTATTAAATAATTTCCCTGAGCAATTAACTGTTGACAAAATGATTAAATTAGTAAGTGAATGCTTTTTTCGGTTGAACTTGATTTTAGCCGAGCTGTGACACTTACGAATTGTATTAAAAATTGTTAGATTGAGCGTGTAGATTTAACCTCCCATTAGAAAGCGAGTATTTATCTAACAAAGTTATTGTTCATACTGTTCGTGCAATTATGCCGCGCATTAATTGCTAATTAGTGAAACTCCTAAAGGACATGTACATATATGTTTCCTAAATATTTAGCTTTTGGATATACCCACGATTGTTAAAGCACACGCTGTTCCTGCTAACGAACTGAATCCATTTTGCATTAAATTATTTTTTTAATTGAACGAACAACAAAATGTCTATTTCTTCCGAGTGCTATCGCGCGAAAGTAGTCTGCTTTCAGTCTACCAAGAAAGGAATAATCTCGCTCTTACAATCGGTAGAGTATTAATCTAGTTGTTATCTGGAATACAATCAGAGTAAAGGAAACATTAATCCTTCCGAAGCTGATTGTAAGTAACAGTTTGCGGTCGAAAACTGAATATTCCTAGCAGCTGTGCTTTCGTCGTTTTGGCCACGTGCCAATGAATATCTGGCACGCTCGCCTCCGGCAATTTTATTTAGTTTGAATGTCAACGTGGGCTATTTGTCTTGCATTATGGTGCCCCGTGGCTGGACGCATGTTCGTGTTTGTTGCGCCGTGCCTTACGCTTTATCCTGTTTCCTTCTCGATCGCAAAGCAAGGTTTTCCAAACTTTACCGTGTCATTATTAAATAATTTCGTCTCAAATGTGATTCTAGATTGATCGAGTAATTTTTGCCACTTAGATTCGACTGATAAAATTGTATTACAGCTGTGGAGGGTTAGAAAAGTGAGCATATTAAATACGTTGCACTCGAGATACGTTTCTTTTCTAAATTGTCATTGTTCCATAAAATGATTCCACGAATTTGTATTTAGCAATAAATTTATTCTTTCGTTTTCCACGGTCATGGTTGGTTATTAGTTAGTTATCTCATGCACTATTTTTAACAGTTTGTCACATTAGTTCTTCTTTTTTTTTATGAAATTTTTACGTCACATCTGTCATTAGAATTTAAAATACAAGCTTGTGTCTTACGAATTTAATTTTTTGGATATTTACTAAATAGTTCGAAATCAGAATATCGAATTGTATTAAAAATTGTTAGATTGAGCGTGTAGATTTAACCTCCCATTAGAAAGCGAGTATTTATCTAACAAAGTTATTGTTCATACTGTTCGTGCAATTATGCCGCGCATTAATTGCTAATTAGTGAAACTCCTAAAGGACATGTACATATATGTTTCCTAAATATTTAGCTTTTGGATATACCCACGATTGTTAAAGCACACGCTGTTCCTGCTAACGAACTGAATCCATTTTGCATTAAATTATTTTTTTAATTGAACGAACAACAAAATGTCTATTTCTTCCGAGTGCTATCGCGCGAAAGTAGTCTGCTTTCAGTCTACCAAGAAAGGAATAATCTCGCTCTTACAATCGGTAGAGTATTAATCTAGTTGTTATCTGGAATACAATCAGAGTAAAGGAAACATTAATCCTTCCGAAGCTGATTGTAAGTAACAGTTTGCGGTCGAAAACTGAATATTCCTAGCAGCTGTGCTTTCGTCGTTTTGGCCACGTGCCAATGAATATCTGGCACGCTCGCCTCCGGCAATTTTATTTAGTTTGAATGTCAACGTGGGCTATTTGTCTTGCATTATGGTGCCCCGTGGCTGGACGCATGTTCGTGTTTGTTGCGCCGTGCCTTACGCTTTATCCTGTTTCCTTCTCGATCGCAAAGCAAGGTTTTCCAAACTTTACCGTGTCATTATTAAATAATTTCGTCTCAAATGTGATTCTAGATTGATCGAGTAATTTTTGCCACTTAGATTCGACTGATAAAATTGTATTACAGCTGTGGAGGGTTAGAAAAGTGAGCATATTAAATACGTTGCACTCGAGATACGTTTCTTTTCTAAATTGTCATTGTTCCATAAAATGATTCCACGAATTTGTATTTAGCAATAAATTTATTCTTTCGTTTTCCACGGTCATGGTTGGTTATTAGTTAGTTATCTCATGCACTATTTTTAACAGTTTGTCACATTAGTTCTTCTTTTTTTTTATGAAATTTTTACGTCACATCTGTCATTAGAATTTAAAATACAAGCTTGTGTCTTACGAATTTAATTTTTTGGATATTTACTAAATAGTTCGAAATCAGAATATCGAAAAACAAACGTGGAATAGTATTTTAGATCCTCTGTTTAAAATATTCTCGTCCAATTTCACCTGCAGGCAAAACGACGGCAATCAACGAAGTTTCGGGACGAATTAAGATCGCGAGGAAAAAGCTGAGCACGGCAAAACCTTGCACAAAGTATATCCGATAAAAATCACTCGAAAGTCACGTTTATAGATCGCGTTGAATCCTTTGAAGCACACCACGATACCTGGTAATAAATTAAAACTTCGAGATGTGCGGTTTTTCGTTTCCCGACGGATGACATTCCATTTGGAAAAACGCGAAGTTGAAGTAAAGGCGGGCCGATGTGTTCGGTACAAGAGACAGGATACGAAACCGAGCTCCGCAACAGTTGTTTTCAACTGTAATCCTTTGAGAAATCTTACATGCGTCGCGCCTTGTGAAAAGTTCCCGTGAAAAATTAAATGCACCGAGGAGAGACCAATAAGCTCCTCTCTCGGTATGAACTTGTAAAATTCACATCTGTGTCGTTCGTTCCTTCTTTTCTTCTTTTGTCCCTTTTGTGTGGAACTTCGTCATCGGCTGCGTGACGTTAAACAACGACTATGAGACGCGAGCAAGTTGCTGGAAATGGCGAAAGAGTAGTAAAACTTGATAATCTTTAAGGGTGTTAGGTGATTACGAGACGCAAGCGCAGTCGAGCGCAGGGATAATTGTGTTTCCGAAGAGTTGCTAAAACGAGGGAGGAGGGACTTTCGAGTAAATAATCATATTTTCAAAAGTGAATCTGCAGTTGCAGGGAGTAGCGCGAATTTTTTTTTGTGAAAAATTGTACAGTTTGGGAGAAGTTAGTGAGAAATGAATTTGTCATTAATTAGGAGTATTGAAATTATTCGGTGGTATAGTGCTTTCCAATTATCGCAGGGAAGAATTAGAATATTTTCAGAGAATATAATTATTTGAAAAGTTATTAAGATGTATTACTCAAAATTGAAAATTAACGTAATGATTCACATTAAATAGGGTATTAAAGCATACCATTCCTCTTTTGATCGAAAGTGTATTTTTGAACAAAGCACAATAGTAACACACGAAATCACAGTGTTAAAAATTACTCAATTTTCTCTCATAATTATACTTTTCCCTATGTCATATAAACTATTTCGACTACACAATGGCAAAACACTCGTTATAATTACAACAATTCCACACGTCCGCAGTCTACAATAAAGAACAGCGAACTTCGACATTTAAACTTTCATTAGCAATTACGCACTAAGTTAAACACATATTTTCCTCAAAGTACAATATCCCAGCTTAATCAAACAAGAAACACATTCCTACGCTTCGACGTATACGGTGCAAAGTTTCACAGAGTCGCAATAGAAGACCCGTCGTTCATAAACCAGTTCATTACCTTGCTCAGTTTCTCGGAGCTAATTAACGCAGCAATCGCAATACGCTTTATAGGTATTCTCTGTACAGCGAAACGTGGCCAATAAGAACGAAGAGAGATAAAGTAATAGAGAGAAAGAGCGCGAGAGAGGAGGAAGACTAAGAATAAGAGAACGGTCGCGCTTTCGATTCTAAGAATTTATTGGAAATCGTTTTTGTCAGCCGAGAGAAGAATCAGCAGAATCTCGTTTCATTGAAAACGACTGCGGAAACGAAAGAAAGTGGAATGAAATTGAAATCAGGGACGAGTCTGTTTGGTAGGATGGGATGGGGGTGTGGTGCAGGAAGAGAGAGAGTCGAGTTAGGGAGGATCCGGAAATCGGTCGAAAAAGGAACGAGAAAGTGAAAAGAGGTCGCGGAATCAGATATTCTGCCTCTTTAAAATTTTGCCCGGTACACAGAGGGAAATTAGCGGTCGCTACCAACAAAGGGACCAACTTCAATCTGTGTGCGACAAGAGTATTAAAACGGAATACATTTCCGTTTTCTTATACCTCCCTCTGGTCTTTGACTCGCGTTCCTGGGAAGACGATTGTATTTCCTTCGTGGAAGAATAATATCGGACTGGAGATTTTTTGTGGAATGAATTAGTTTTAAGGAAGTTTGAATTTTGGAGAAATGTTGGTCACGCTTTTCTGCATTTAGTTCAGAATTGTTGAAATTTTCATTTGAAATGTGAAGCTATAGTGTTTAAAAAATTGAATTTTTATGATAGTAGCTTTAAAGTAAACATTTTTGAAAATTGATTAATAAATTTCGACTATCACTCACTTAATAATTATCATAGAGATGTATTTTTCTATGCCTAGACTGATCATTTTACTTACATATGTATGTTGAATTACTAATTTTTTCACATCGTACGTTTCGACAGAACGAACATTTTCTATGAAAATCAGAGACCGAAATTTTTTCAACGATGTTCCCTAAATCAGAAACTTTTATCATCGTCATATATCGTCCACTTGACACAGATAAATTCTGGCAAATAATTATTTTTCATCAAATCCTCTAATATGTTTGGAAAAATCGCGAGAAACGCTAGAACGAGAACACCCTGTATATAACCGTATAGCGTTGGTTCCAGCATATTTGTGACGTAATCGCGCGAATCACAAGTGGGGCTCGAGAATAATAGCTCGCGACAAATTTATCGGGGCTAAAATGCCGGGCGTCGAACGGCTGCAATTAGCGAGGGGGAATCTGAAAATTAGATCTCGCGATTCCGTTAAAATCAGACGCAATTTCCTCGATTACACCTCGAATTGGATCAGCCGTTTGCCCGCTCCGAGCTTCTCGCCCCCGAAATCCGAGCATCGATTCAATACACACCGTCCTCGGAGGGACGTCAATGCCAATTAATAGGAGAAAGATAAACAATAATTCCGTTGGCAAATCGGATCGCGTCAGACGCAGAGACCTACCGAGCCCCCGCACCTACCTCTCGGCGTAAATAACGACGGATTCTCCTTCAATTTCGTAACATGGCCGTGTACCCGCTTCGACCCGATGACACCGACGTGGAAAAACGGATTTTCCTATATATTTCCTCCTCTTTCGATCGCCGCCCGGGCCTTTCAATCTCGCCGTGGCAACGTCAGTAATTTTCCGCCCTGACTGACGTCTCCTGACAACAAGTTGCAAATTTGAAGAGCTCCAGTCGAGATGGAAGAACCTCGGGGTTGTTTATCGGTCTCTGGTTTCGTCGATTCGAACGACGACGTGAAAAATACAGGGCTCGGGAGGACAAAAGTGGATGGATTAAGCTGCGCTGATAATTGTGAGGGATTTGTGGAATCAGCGCTATCAATTTCTTTTTATCCAGTAGATTACACAAATGGAAAATAGTTTTCTTTTTTTTTGGAGGATTAGTGAAAGGAACGTTTTAAAATCTTGAAAGAAGTTAGCGCAGAAATGAATTCTTTGCGACTTTTAGGTGCAATCGAAGTTTTATTTAAAAAGAATGAAAACAGATGAAAAATTAAAATAATTTCCATTATCGTTGATGTCTTTTTGCCATTTTTCTGACAATTTTCGAATACCATCGCGATAGAAACTCGGTGGTTTTGAATCAATTATGCGAATCCAGTCGGGAAGAATTCATTTTTACATGTGATATATTATTTACTTGAGAAATTCTGTCCCAAAATCGTTTTTCAGATCAAATTCAATAGGCAAATTATGAAATAAAAATTTCCAAGTTACTTTATCGTTTGTCATCGTTGGAAGGAAAAATTTAATTAGGAAGCGAAGTTTAAGGATTCTCCGATTTCACGAATTATTTGTGAAAATTTTCTACAAGCCTATTTAAGTTACTTCTTGGAAACCTTAGAAAATCTTAATGCAAACTCCAATGAAATGCTTACCGCTAACGAGGCTTGCATCCAAGCGAAGATCAATAATTCCTCTATTTTGTTATATTCATATTGTGTTACGCGCGCGTTAATTATATTACGCTTGTAAATTACACAGTATTACCGAAAAACGAATTCCAATCAGGAAGGTATTTAATTAAGTAAGCGCTTTTTAATACGTCCGTTTAATAATAAACATGTAATGCGAATTTCTACGAATTACGAAGCTGCATGATAACGATAATTAATTTACCACAACAATTTGTTCTTCTTCTGAAGAAAGGATCGACATCTTACGTTCACAAATCATACGAAAGTTTATTTATAAACATAATTCTGTGTAGAAATTGAATTTATGTCACGGTTTGTTATTATTTCACTTTGCTTCGAGATTTAGGGCCTGTTTCAAACCGTACAAGGCTTTCTCATACGCTATTTTTAATATCCTATCCAATTTATTCTCTTTTGTATTTATTAGATTTTAGATCAGTTGTCGTTAGATTTAAAAATACAGATTTACGTTTATGTCACGTTTTTTCCTTTACAGTTCAAATTTTCTGCATTCACATAGAAAATAGTTGATCACTACTTAGTTGTGACAGTAATTGCAGTAAAGTGGCTCTATTTTGGAATGGCCGCTTATGAATCAAGCTATCGTCGTTTCTTCTCTTCTGTTTACGTTACAGTGCAGTATCAATTCACAAAAGTCTTTCACGTAGCTACCCTAATTTGTTCCAAAGAGAAACTATTTCGAGAGAAGAACGTATCTCGAGAAGAAAGTATTACAGAACGAAAAAGCAAAAAGAAGAAAAAAAAAATGAAATAATCGTATAAATGTCGTCGTTACTACTTCATCGTGCGATTTTTTCCAGACATATCAGTTCTCCGCGTATCCATAGCTTCTCGCATGAGTGTACGATACACTCCCCGATGTGAGCACTGTCACGCCAACAGTCATAACTCTTTCACGCAATGGTGTCACTCCCTGTGAGACTCTAATCTCTGTGTCGTAATGTTATAGTTTCGAAAGGTTGCAGGGGAACGCCGCGAAGATCTGAGATGGGAGCCGGAGCGCAACAACAGGTCTAGGGCGACCTCGCCAGATCGTCACCAGGTCGATAGAGGAAGGGCTACCAGCCCCCAGAGAGGCGCTATCGAACCTTCTTCCGGCACGGGTAAGGATGCTTGTTCACGAATCAGATACTTCTTTTCTCCAAACTTTTTCTTTTCCACCAACTTGTTTCTCGCGTTCGAGACTACGTTTTCTTGTTTCTCGAATAAACTCGCTACTCTTATTTGTTGGCCGAGAGTAGCCAATCTAATTGCAACGGAGCATGATTTATAGCTTGGTTACAGTTAGCAGAAATAAGCTTGCAGCTGTTGAGAATTTAGTCCTGGACATTTTCACGATAGCTAGGAGTAAAAAGCTTGAACCTCTTCAGGGACACTGATACGTACACTACCGGCCAAAAGTTTAGAATCACCGAGCATTGCAATTTACAGAAAAATTTGCAGAAAAAAGTCAGCGACTTTGAGAATTTTTTACCGTTCAAATCAATTGATATGGGATAAATTGATAAATGTAGAATTGAGATAAACTTCAAATCTATAAAAAATTAGCAGCAGATTTAATATTGATGAAAAGTGGTTCCACACTTT